ATATATATAGAATAAATGTTTGAAAAGAAAATTTGCCCTGAGCGGGATATTTCAAAAATTTATTCTATTTAAGTATGATTACTTGGGGTGTACAGGGCAGTTTCCCTCGCATACAGAATTGATATGTAGTCAAAAGGGGCTGATATGTAGTCAAAAGGGGCTATATTTTTTAAAAGTTGAAATAAAACATTCATAGTTTAAAAAAAAAATGCTCACCAGACTCTTTTTATTATCTCTTTATCCCCTTGATAAGTGTCATGAAGTGTTTAGTTCAGTATGGGTTAGTCATTTGTATATAAATAGTAACAAGTTACAATTTGAATTCAAAATCTGAACTTATTTGCGATTAATTTTACGCGATAAGTTTCCTGATTAAGACAGTCTTGTTACGCTCTGCGTAGAGAACGTATACTATTAATGTTGCTTTTCAGTCCCGTGGGTCTTACGATTTCCTACGGATATCGATCCGAAGCCAGACCGTATAGCTTTTTTATACCATTTTGTAGTGATTGAACACATGTCCTCGATCTTCAATGGGTATCTAGCGTTTTGAATAACGCTGGTTATGTGACGTCCAGTGGGTTGATTCGCTTCGGTCTGAATGCCGTGAGAAGATATGTAGATAGATTGCACCCCTTAAACGACACGAGCTATGTGAGATAGTTCGTTTTGTTCCTAGCTAATGCTACAGAATCTGACAAGGGAGATTTGATGAAAGAATTGAACACAATGAAGCAGCTAAAAGAACTACATCCTCACGTCATCAAACTTCTAGGACGTGTTTCAGATTCTGATATTGCTCACCCACATAAGTGTATCTTAACTCATGAAGAGATGTTACTTATTTCTATAGTGTATTTTTGCAACCGCCTCCCGGTTAGCTCAATTGGTAGAGCGTCGGACTGTTGTGTGGGAGGTCGTGAGTTTAAATCCGGCCGGACCAACACTCAAGGTCTTTAATTAACTGAGAGGAAAGTGCTGCCTTTGTAATAATATCTGCGAATGGTTAGACTTTCTAGTCTTCTCGGATAGGGACGGTAAATGGAGGTCCCGTCTCCTGCAGGGTTGGGGTAGGAGAAGTTAATTTCCCACACACGAGATTACTGTGTGATGGATGTCCTCCCCGGGGTGGGATGGGTGGATAAAAAAGGGGTTAGGTGTCAACTGGAACGAAAGTTCTATTCCTTTCTCCTGCCATTCCTGTGGCGAATGAATTAAACTTAAACTTAAACTATAAGAATAGAGTTCTCCTGAAAGGAATTGTTCCGCAGAAAATGATTGACTTTCGGAAAAGTAGAACAAAAGTCATCATGGAATTAAATTATTTTTAATCGATGTTTGATGATGTTATGCACTGCAACACATGTGTAATTTGTAAGTTTCGATTGATGAGTTTCTATCTGTCAGGAACTTTAATTCGTTTGTTGGTCTCCGTTCTTTACCCAGCGATAATATTGAGATCTGTTCAGAGGCGCCTGTTCGAGGTAACACGAATTAAGTGAACACGAATTAAGTGATTCACAATGCTTCACGAGGTGAACTGTGTCAGTACCGTCTATCTTAATCTTGATATGTTGTCTGCACGTTGATTTCATCTTCGATGCGTTCAACGAGTTTACCTTGACTCCGTCCGAAAGGAAACTACCCACCCGAAACGTGAGCAAGATATGTAATTTTTCACAAGTCATCTAAGAGGAAATCACTTGTAAGGACAATCTAAAGTGGAGAAAAGAAAAAAGCGATTCAAAACATAACCGATACAGCCCTCTGACCGCTCTCGGGACCAATCAAATCACTTGATTTGAGGAATACAACCCACTCGCGTACTAAAAAAAACAATTCTTTATGAAAGCTAGGCTGTAACTTCTAGTCTGCTCTTATAATTTATACTAGTTTTAAAGATGGAGAATGTCCACAAAAATGTGTCTTTAAGGTTGAACTTCCCTCCTTGCTGGTGGGTGCAGGTTTGGCGCGAAAAAACGTTATTTAAGAATTAGTTTCTAGAGTGGAGGTGACTAGATTGGATACTCTGAGTCCTTTATTATCTGATCTGTAGTATTAGTTGACTAAAAGAACACGCTGCGGAAACAGTTGGCTAAATATTTTGTTTTGTCTGAAATGGAATATTGAGATATTGTTTACAACACTTTAGGTAGTAAAGAATCAGAAGAGACACCTTAAACGTATAGAATGGGCATCTGCTGTTTTTTTCGTGAGCAAATTTGCGCGAAAGACGAAAGTTAAACCTCTTAGAAATGACACATAAAGAGTTACAAATGGAGTTTGAATGAAATACCTGTTCCTTCCCACTCTGTTAGCGCCTGTAATTTTAGATAATTTTCGGCTCATCAAGTAGCAGTTTTCATGAAAGCAGATCATTTTCCGCTCCTGTATGGAAACAGTTTTGATAGCTTGCCAACTCACGCGAGCAAAATATCTTCCTGTGGCTCTTATTGTTATGACATGACTTACACATAACGTGCGCTCTGATTTGTTAAAAACTCTATCGTTTATTGTACTAATAAATCCATGAAAAAACTGGAACATCTTGTCTTGAGAAATGGCAGCACACGGAAAGATCACCAGATTCTAATTTATTGAAGGCTTTTGGTTTGGAGGGAACAAAGGGGACACTTTAAAAGGCAGAAACAACGAAAAATAGTTATTAACAATAGAAAATTGACCAACCTGTTGTACCTTCCTAAGCTTTCATTTCTCGCTGCCCGGTAAAAGGGAAGGAACTTCAAAACCTCTAAACTATAAATCACCAAACTACTCACTGAGATGAAACGAAAACCCCATTCGAATTCACACCTCTGCACCTTAAACAAACCAGATATTACCAAACAGGTTTTGTCGTTTTGAAGCAGGTGACTGGAGTTCTGTAAAGCAGGCCAACAACTCGTTCACAGATAACTCTTTATTGTACATTGCACTGCTACAACTCACTTCTGTTCTTAACACAAAGGCTAACTAAAATTTAAGACGTAGGAGTCTACTTCAACTTCACTTGTTGCATTGAGTGCATTTGTTATTCTCAGGTAGGGGATTTCAGCTGGGCGGAGTTCTCAGGGCAAAGGAAATCCCATTGAGCTAACCGCCTCCCGGTTAGCTCAATGGATAGAGCGCTGGACTGTTGTGCGGGAGGTCGCAGGTTCGAGCCCCGGCCGGACCAACACTCAGGGTCTTAAAATAATTGAGAAGAATATGCTACCTTTCTGTAATATCAAGAAATTGCTAGATATTCTAGTCTTCTCGGATAGGGACGAATAAATGGAGGTCCCTTCTCCTGCAGGGTTAGGGGCAGGAGACGTTAATTTCCCACGCGCGAGATTACTGTGTGATGGTGTGATGGAAGTCCTCCCCTGGGGTGAGACGAGTGGGTAACAGGACCCCCGTTATTTACTACACTGAAGGGGCTATCCTGTTTAAATAGAGAGGTCTAAAAAAAATGGAGGAAATACGACTAGAATGCAACCGTCAATTTTCATAAACCTTTGCGTAAGGTAAAAGTAGCATAAGTGTATAATTCGCCTCTTGAAGACGAATAAGGAGAACAAAGGATCTAGAAAGGTGCTAAGGCTGAGGCAAGAAACGAAGCTTTCATGAGTTCAGAAAATTCGTCTATATGCAAATCAAGGAAACAAGGTGCGAGTTTTTCACAGCCAAAAATAAACTGAGTTTTTATCTAGAAGAGGTAAGTAAGCTGAAGTCACCCTATGGTAAAAATTACAGCGACACAGGTTTTGCCTTCCCTTTTCATAGTTTCATTCGTTCGTCCAAAATTCCAATTTTCTACTTACGATCTAGCAGTGGAGTAAATTTTGATCTTATTAAAAAGAGAAACAGCGAACAACTATTTTTTATAATACTGTTGTGATTATATGTATTTCCTGCTTGATTACCGGTGTATGCAGCCCTTGCGTGATTATATGTATCTCTTACAACAGTGCGTGAGTGATAGTTACAATAAAATGGATAAGATAACTAAAGCATACCCAGCACGCTTAAGTAAACCCCTAAAGTACTTGATGAATGCTCTCAATCTGTAACCTCTGGCCCCAAATAAAAAAGCGTAGTATTTTGGGCTATGATGAGCACAGTGCGAGTCATCCGCGAGCTCGAGGAGAGGAGCGCTGTAAATATTCAGTGTGCTTTCGTGCTTCTTCCCTCACGCGTGACTCTCGCTTCGCGTCTTTCTTACGCTTGAATCCGTTCGCCCGCATAGGGCAAAAAATTATGCCTGTTCTACAATTAAACAATTAAACAATTAAAGCCCAAAGACAATGTCGATCGATATAACTAACAACCCTAAATAACCCTACGCTAAATAAAGTTTTTTTTTCCATCTATCTTTATTTATCCACACCGAGATTAAATCCCCTGACCATTTTTTTTTTCTTTTGTAATGTTACTTAATCGATTTCGGTCATCTTTTTCGACTTGGTTAAATGAGAAAATCCGAGTTATACTATCTATATCAATGGGAAAAAGTTCTACATTAAGGCTACATTATCCTAAATCATCTCATGGTATTGGCTTAATTTTATAGATATAATTGCAAACTGAATAATACTTATCCGTCTCGTAAAGAACCCATAGCCAAGATAAAAGCGATCTGCCAGAGAGTGTGGAATAAACTACAGCGGATAGAACTTTTCTTTTTAGGATATTCCTTCTTTAGAAAGTTATGGTAGCATCTCGCGGACGTTTAGTCTTCTCTTTTAATCCATTGCTTTATTGATGTCTTGGCTCTTTTAGAATTTCATTTATTTCGATTGGAACGTTAACAGCTTGCACCCTCTTAGCTTTGTCTTATATTGGATTGCAACGTTAGTATTAAGTGAACTTTTACGGTTGTCTTTTGTTGGATTGTAACGGTTACTTGGTACCTTGTGCAATTTTGGTATTGTCTTTCTTTGGATTGTTATTCTCAAATCTAGTGAACCCCTAGGATTCTCTTTCTATCGATTATACGTTAGTTTCTCGTGCACAATTATGATTATTTTTAATTGATTGTTGCGTAGTGTTTTTCACGCCTTTTAGTATGCTCCTTCATTCGAGAGTTATGGATTATCTTTCATTTGATCGTCATGTTAATGAGTATCTCTCGCACTCTTGGTCCTCTATTTAAATCAATTGTTATGTTAGCATCGTAGGTACATTTAGGATTTTCTTTCATTGGACAGTTACGTTAAATTCTGGAGCAGTTTTAGAATTCCGTTTTATTCTATTTGATGATTAGTCTTTCGCTTACTTTTAGGATTTTAAACAAACTACACAAACTACTAGTAAGGATTTTCACGAAAAAGCTATTGACGGCTTTCAAGACACTCGATACTCGACAAGATCCCTGCCCTAGTTGTGATCTTGTCGAACGGCGAGAATGGCGCAAGCGGGGTGTTCAAAGACAGGGTATCAACGAATTCAGTTGTTTTTAACTATCTAAGAATTAAATTATCAAAATATTATTAAAACTTTGGTTCTATGAACGAAAATCAGTGAAAACGGCGATAAACTGAGTATCTCTTTGAAACCTGTAGACTAGTTTGCCTTTTCATAGATTCTACTTTATCTATATTTGTCGTTGGCAAGCAGCTGCAATTCTACCCATAATTATGTTTAACTTATAAAAACAGTAAACCACTCTTTTTATCACCGGCGTAATTAATGAAGCTCGCTGGATGTTTTGGAGAATAGGAGAGGAGTCGGTAAACCACGATCCGGGGACAAGTGAATCTTTGACTTTTGGAGTATTCTCCAAACATTCAGCGGGGTTTATCGCACCGGTAAAACTGTTGAAAGTGTTAATTCACTGACTACTCCAATGCTAGCAATTGTTCTATTTTCCCGTCAAGATAGGAAGTGACATCGTCACCTCGAACTCCCTTTCTTCTTTCCTTAGTTCCATCCGCCTTTTTCGTCATTTTATCGTAATGTTCAGTATTTCCTTCTGCAAAGGTAAACAGAGGAAAGTTCGTTTAACTTACAGCATAGTTGCCGAACTTTTTCATGGGCCAGTGGAAACGAAGTTTGGCGTCTGAATCAATGAAGATTGATTCAGACGCCAACGCTGTTCCTAAAGGAACGTTTACTTCACTTTATATTGGCTCAGCCATTCGTCCACTTTTCTTGGAGGGGAATTTTCATTGACCAATCTCATAAATCAGCGCTGCATAATTTCAGAAGTTTTCTTTCAACAGTAGTACTTCCTTTAATGAATTTCGGCATAAACTCGTATCAGGTTTAGCTTATCCAAAGTTCGACTTCTGAACTGGGCCAAAGTATACATAATTTATGTATAAATATATGATGTGGCTAACGGAGAAAAACTGAGGACCATCAATGCGATGAATGCCGAGCCTTAAAAGTTGATATAAGTTGAATAAGGGGAGGGACTTTTAAAACAAATGCCTCAATTGCTTCGCGCCGTGTATTCGTCTTTGGTCACTATTCGCTCTGAAAACCCACAATTCCACGAGACTCGCCTTGTAGAACAGCAATGCTCGCTTTTAAAAAAAATATTTGCGCATATTTTCACACCAGATAAAAGCTAAAGTCGTAGGTTTTAACTCAAGTCAGTTTCTTTTGTTTAATGGAAATATCTTATGCGTTTAGTAAGTTTATTTTTATGCGCTAATGAGGCGGTTATTGTTAAGAAAGGTGGTGGTATATATAAGCTGTTAATTGTTTAAGTCTTTATCAACTTGTATCCAACAATCGCCATCTGTTCACGCGCTTGCACCAGAGTTATCTTCCTTATCTCCTGGGTTTTGATCGTCACTGAATGTTATGAACCTGGGTTCGAATCGACTAAGTAGGAAACATTCGTGGTCACGAGAGGACTGGATACCATATACACATAAATAGATGGGGTACCATACTTACTTCTTAAAACATATTCTTCTTCGTAAGTGCCATCCGGTTTATTCTTCCATGACTTATAGAAGTCTTGAGGTGGACGTTTGTCAACAGTGCTTCCATCACCTATGTGCAAAACGTATAGTAAAGGGGGAATTTATAAGACAAACAGAATCGGAGAAGTATATATAATTGTATAAAGGCTGATAGTTTCGAAAGAAACCGTTTTGGGCTGCGTCGGTGGGAGTAACGAGATAATTTGGATATATCAACAAAGTTGAAGTAGTAAATTGGCCACCGTAACGATTACAAAAGCCGACGTTTCGAGCGTTAGCCCTTCTATTTGCTCCGACGAAGGGCTAATGCTCGAAACGTCGGCTTTTGTAATCCTTACGGTGGCCAATTTACCACTTCAACTTTGTTGATATATCCAAACTATATATAATTGTGATGTCTCTGTTTCTATCTGAGGTCATCATCATCATCATCATCTTTATTTGCCTTATTTTAACAATTAAAAAATAGTTAATTACAGCGATAACAGTTAGAAGGCGAGGAGACCTAAAAAGCCACCAGGCTTATGGGAGAGCCACCTCACGATAATGAATTAAGGTCAATCTCTTCATGTACTTAAACCTCCTCCATTCCTTTTTTTTTTCCTTTTGGCGTCTTCCCTTTTTCCTTTTCCCTTTGACCCCCCTAGATTTAGACTCTCGGTCCAAATCAGCCAGCGGATATGCACCCCGCCAGTCCAAATCAGCTAGCGGATATGGACCGCACGGTCCAAATCCGCTTGCGGTCTTGGACCCCTCTCGGAAGATTTGGACTCCTTGTCACAGCGGATTTGGATTGGACCCACCCCCGGTGGATTTGGACCTCCCCCGGTCCAAATCCGCTAGGGGACATGGACAACTCTTCGTAGACTTGGATCCCCCTGCCAAATGTTCCCACTGAACATCGTTTGTATCATATAAGGCAACTAAATCTAGGTTTTCATGACGCTCAAAGCGTAAATATCACATTTATTGTTGTGCTTGGTTTGTTGTCAGTTTCTTTTTGACAAAAACAACGCAGTAAGCAACAAAAGCTCGTTAGCCTAATTTATCAGTACTATTGTTCACCCTTAAAAAATGATTGGTATGGAGTGATGAAGGGATAAATATTTACTAGACACTGAGTCGCTTTGACGCGCTAAATAATCTTCCCAATAGGGAAAAGTTCATGTGCGTGGAACGCGTTATCGGCACTGAGTAATTTAGATTATTGTTAATGTGTGCTCCACAAGAAAATTGTGTTGCTCTGCCCACTGCAAAATGTGTTATTCTCCTTTATCATAACTCTTGTGATTCCTTCCGTCAGTGATGGTCAAAACGAAAGGGTACAACTAAATTTTTCACTATCTCCGCGATACCGAGTATCCGATCGACTTTTCGAAAGATCAGAAAATAAAGTTAAGTAAAAAAGCCAAAAAATTCGTTCATAAAGATGGCGCGCTCTTTTTCAATGGCCAGAGAAACGGTCAGCCTAGATTTTGTTACCTTATATGATACCAGCGATGCTTAACAGGACAATTTGGTAGGGGGATCCAAATCTGCGAAGAGGGGTCCATATCCATCAGTGGATTTGGATCGAGGGTGTCTAAGTCTGTGGGGGGAA